CACTCGTGGTGTTCTCAGCGATTAGAAAGTGTGGCTCGCCGGAAATAGCTCGCAAGGGCTGTGAAGGTTTGGGGACTGTGCAGAGACTGTGCAGGGACTGGTGAAGGTTGGGGGAATGAAACCTGGGTGCGAGATGATGGCAGGGTGGTGAGGGGCAGTAGTGGGATGGTGGTGACCGGCGGTGGTTGGTCACTGTGGGGATTGGTGCGACGGCTTGGTGGCAGATATCGGGGGTTGAGCGGATGAAATGGTGGGTTGTGCTGGTTGAAAGGCTATGGGGGTGTGGTGTTGGGCAGTGCTATGGTGATGAGGGCTGGGGTGGAGTGATGTGGTAGTGCAGTGGTGATGGTGGCAATTTCTGACCGGGGGCGTTGGCGGCAGTCACCGGCGCTCGAGGGCGGCAGTCACTGACCGAGTGTTGTGGCGGCAGTCACTGCCGAGGGCGGTGGAGGTGCTGGCAGTCACTGGGCAGGGGGCGGTAGCGGCAGTCACTGCTGAGGGCGGTCGCGGCTGTCACTGACCGGGGATGGTTGCGGCAGTCACTGCCGAGGGCGGTGGAGGTGGCGGCAATCGTTGGATAGGGGCGGTGGCGACAGTCACTGCTGAGGGCGGTGGCGGCAGTCACTACGGAGGGTTGTGGCTATTGCAACTGTCGATGAATGGGGCTGGTGGTGACTATGATTCCGGTCACTATCTTTCCGTTTTCTAATTCTGGTCACTATAATTTCAGATGTAATTCCGGTCACTATAACTTCAAATGTAATGGCAGTCACTATAATTCCAGTCACTATAATTTCAAATGTAATGGCAGTCACTATAATTCTGGTCACTACAACATAATGCACCATACTTGTCAACCGTAAGCAATTCCACGTGCAGAGTCATATAATTGGAACTTTATCATTTAACTCACTTTTTTGTGCTTCGGTCTTTTTTAGTAATATCTATAAAAAAGGCCAAAATACAATTGCTTGTTCACACACACAAAGTCCTAAACATTTGTATGTTTTCATACTTGATTATATATTCATTACATCTATTTTATCCATTCTTTCATTCGCTCATTTATTTCATTTATTTATCTTATAATTTCAATACACTCCTAAACATTTGTACTTAATTCCCTAAGAAAAGTGGTTAATCATATATATGCGCGGAGAATAGCAAGAAGCAGAAGACCTAGCATAGTGTAGGGTTTTTTGGCGGGCAGTGGTGGTGGTTATTCACGACAACTTTGTCCCGGTGTTAACAACTTGTGTTGAGCGACAATTCAAGCAGGGCGACGGCGGCTCTATCTGTGACAATTAGCGACAGGCAACGAGTACGATGAATTCTACAAAGCGGCAACAGATCGTCCTTGCGATTGATGTCACTGGCATTTAGAAGTTTCGGAGGTGGTCGTGAACCTGCGACGGCTAGGGTTGCGAGGCTTGATTTTCCGATGTTTGATTTGACTGTTTTGGCTCTGTATGTTGGTGATGGAGATGGAAGATGCACAAGTTGTATCTGATCCGGGTGGAACACTGGCGGTTTGGGGTCCAATGAAAGGAGTGAAATTGGGCTCCAGTCGGATGATTGGGGGATTGGCGAATATTCAATTTGTAACGTTACTCTACCAAAATTATGGAACTTGTGATAAACAAAATTAGTTTATTTCGAAAATACAAAATAATATTAAAAATTACTGAACACTAATTTTTAATACATTACCTATTTATTATGCACACTCACTTCGTTCTAACTACGGTTTTTTATCAATATCAATAATGCAATTTATTTTTTCGATCAATGGTATATTGGATGATCAAATAAATTAATCCAAATTATAGAACTATGCCACAATCAAATTCAAAATAACAAGACCAACAAAGGCAACAATGCAGTTTTTTCGGTGATATAATATTGAATGATCAAATGAATCCAAATTATAGAGTTATGACACAATCAAATTCAAATTGGATAATAATAATGTAATAATTAGGGTTTATTTTTTAATTCTTCATAACTCTATTTTATTATAAATACAAGGCTAAGGCACCCAATAGGGTAAGCCATTATTCCCAAACATATTATCGTATATGGTATCAGACTGCTAGGTTTCTTTTCTCTCGTCACGTTCAACATGGTCGGCCTCCCTCTTACTGCCGCCATGACCTCGGCGCCCTCACAGCAGGAGCAGCCGTCCTCCATCAGTCTTGGTTTCTCCCAGGCAATCCCAACGGCTTCATCAGCGCCCGTTTTGACGGAGCAACGGCTTCCCACTGGCTTCAATCGCGCACCAGGCAGCGATTCTTCTATAGACGATGGTTCCAACAACAACGTCCCTCCCAGTCCTTTTTCACCGCCGTTGATTCCATCTATTCGTCACCGGATGGCAGGTATTCCTTCCTTGGACTCCTACAACCTCTTTAACATGCCGCCTCCGTTCACTTGGACTCCGACAGCCAGCCTACCTCTGCCACCGATGTTCAACGCTCATCACGAAGCTGGTCCGTCCAATGTGAGATATGCAGGGCCGACCTTTACTAATCCACCTGCGGTGTCCAGTGCTCCCACGCATGCCTCAGTTCTGGCCGAGCCAGGTTCTGCAAATTTTACTGGTTTTTTATCCGAGTTGTCTTCTAAGTTGACATTCTCTACGCCAAATGTTACTAATATTGTTACTACCAAATTATCTGTTGTTGAGGATTACTTGCCGTGGCGTACCCAATTTGAGTCTTTCTTAGTGTCTCATAGTCTTCTTGGGATACTAGATGGCTCAATTCGGGTACCGCTTGTCACCAATCCGGCCTATCCTCATTGGTTAAAAATAGACCAGACAGTTCGATCATGGATTTTTGCTACCTTGGCTAGGGACATTTTGATGGAAGTCTATGATTTAAAATATTCATCTCTTATTTGGGAACGTCTAGAATCGCGTTTTATGTCTGCATGTTTTGCTCGTTCTGTGGAACTTAAGCGGTCTCTGTCACATATTAAAAAGAAAGAGTCCCAGAACATGGATCAATATTTGTTAGAAATTAAGCTGATTGTTGATGCCCTTGCTATGATTAATTCACCTGTCAGTAATCATGATTTGATGGAGTATGCTATTTTGGGATTGGGTCGTGAATATGAATTTCTTATCACGACTATATCTTATTTTCCTGGGAATGCTACACTTGACTCACTACGGCCGATTCTTCAAGCCCAAGAGCAACGGTCCGCTGCCAGTCCATCTCCGGATCAGTCTACTGTGCATCAGGCTTTTGCGGCTGGCCAGGCACCTCCACACCGTGGCCCAGCTCCACGCGGGTATGGTGCAGGCGCACCCCGGGCTCAAGGTGGTCGCGGCAACCGAGGGGGCAGACCTCGGGGTGGCCGTGGTCGGGGCAGACGTGGTCACAATCAGCACTATCAGCAGCCTTTTGGAGGATATCCGGTGTATGCGCCTTCCTACGGGCAGCCTGCTCCTCCACGTGGACACCCATATCCTGGTGGTGTAGGTTCGGTATTTAGTAATGTCAGTTCTGGTTATGGTTTTACTAAACACCTTTCTACTTGTGGTACTTATAATGTTAGTGCAGGTTTTCCGTCTGTTGAGAATTCCTATCCCTCTCCTGCTCCGCCAATTGTCTGTCAGCTTTGCTTCTCTCCAGGTCACTCTGCCATCCTGCTCTCGTTTCACTTCCCATAATACTCCGGCTTTGGCGGCTCTTCCCACTGGTGAGACGCATGATTCGGTCCGGTATCCTGATTCTGGGTCTTCCGCGCACATGACTCCACATGAAGGTGTTTTATCTTCTAAATTTACTTATACTGGCCCGAATCAAGTTTGTGTTGCTAATGGTACTAAATTACCTATTTCTCATATTGGTCACGTTAAATTACTCACGTCTGGCCGCCCGCTACATTTAAACTCTGTTTATCATGTCCCACATATCAAATATAATTTACTATCTATACAAAAATTGTGTGCGGATAATGCGTGTGAAGTGATTTTTAATAAAAATTCTTTTTCTGTTAAGGACAATCAAACGGGGAGCTACTTCTTCAGGCCACTAATAAAGATCAAAGCTAAATAAGAGTGAAGGTTTAAAACTACTCTCTAAATTAAAGTCTCGACTTGTCAACTCACAAAGAGTTCTTAAAAACCTTTTATTAACAAAACTTCGGATAAGAAATTATTTAAAATTGAATCTCATATGTTGGTATCTTTACAATCACAGATGCTGGTATTTGAGTTTTAACTTCAATACAAGGAAGAAGGAACAAACTCCTTAGATGGTATAAACATTATAATATGACAATTTTATTAATTATCACTTTATTATAATACTACACATTTCTAAAATAGAGAAATTAGATTGTCAACTGACCTAATTTAGAAAATAATTAATCTTATGGTAATTTTAAATTTTTTACTGTTACCGTAATTACATTTAATTTGGGCGAAAGTTTGTTCCAATTTTATATTTATTGTGTTTAGTTACTTTAAACAATACATATGTGAGTAGCTTCTACAAGAAGTTCTTCACATAAAAATCACTTGACTACACTCATGACTCATCTATCCGGACTATCTAACTGTTTTAACTACTTTCGGTTGACATCAACAAAGTCATAACTACCAAATTATCTCTTTAATCAAAAGGATAGAAAATTATACTTTATAAATCGGATTAAATGGGAATAATGGAATTTGTTCGAAAACTTTTTTACTTTTTATTCTGAAAAGGGTAAATAGAGAAATAAATAGGGGAGTAACGATTTTGAGATTTAAAACGGCATATTCGAAATCAGTTAACCACCGTTCCACCAGAAATATTTCCGCGTTGCGCCAGCTGTCAGCTCGCCGGTTTTCTGGTTCCGTACGCGCCGGCCCACCGGCCGGTCCGGTGGTCCCGTTAAAATCTACTCACTACCCAGTGCCTTGCGCAGAGAAAGGAACGAACAGTGAGTCGATAACTATAAAACGAGAACGACGATTCGCGTTCTGATCTGCATTCTCTCTGCTTAAAGGAAAACTTAATTTGAATTTGTTGTGGTAAAGTCTCTGGAGATCGATTTCGCGAAGAGCATTGTTATTTTACGAGCGTTTGATGAGCAATGGCGACGACCGGTGTAGGGGATGAATGTGACTCGGCGGTGAAGGAAGCTGAGCCGAAGGAAGAGTTGCAGAGGGCGGTGACGAAAGCTGAGTCGAAGGAAAAGTCGCAAAAGAAGGTGACGATAGTTGAGCCGAAGGAAGAGTTGCAGAGGGCGGTGAAGAAAGCTGAGTCGAAGGAAAAGTCGCAAAAGAAGGTGACGATAGTTGAGCCGAAGGAAGAGTTGCAGAGTGCGGTGACGAAATCTGAGCCGAAGGAAGAGTTGCAGAAGGCAGTGACGGAAGCTGAGCCGAAGGAAGAGTCGCAGAGGACGGTGACGATAGTTGAGTCGAAGGAAGAGTTGCAGAGGTCGGTGAAGGAAGCTGAGTTGAAGGCCGAGTTGCAGAGGGCGGTGAAAGAGATAATTAGCTCGATTGACATCAATGTCGAGGCCATTGATAGAGCCGAACGAGCGCTGCGCTCGCTGAGGACACTGATTGAAAAGAAACGTCTATCGTCAGTCGTGAGTTCTGCACCAGATGAATTTCGTTGCTATCTTTCCAAAAAAATCATGAAGCATCCTGTTCTTATCGCCAATGGTCAGGTACTAAGGCAAATTCGTCATTTTAATCGTATCCTTGAACTGAAATCTTAGATGAGTCTTCGGATTTCTCCTATTCTAGCCGGTAAATTCTTGTATGTTAGAACTCGTGCTTCTATTTCTCTGTTCTCTTGGCTTATGTCTATCTTTTAACTGAATTTATAGATAAGCTTTAGGATTTCCTCCATTCTAGCCAGTAAGTTCTTGTATGTTCGAAGTTATACTTATATTTCCCGCCTCTGAATGTTCGTTGGCTTAAGTCTATCTTTGAACTTAAATTTTAGAGGAGTTTTAGGATTTCTTCATTCTAATCGGTAAATTATTGTATGTTCAAAGTCATGCTTCTATTTCGCGCTTCTGAATCTCCTTTGGCTTAAGTCTATCTTTGAACTGAATTCATAAATGAGTTTTAGAATTTCTTCTATTCCAGCCGGTAAATTCTTGGATGTTTGAAGTCATGCTTCTATTTCCCACTTCCGAGTTTTCTTTGGTTTATGTAATTATATCTTGAGTCGTACTAGATGATACATCATGTAGAGAAATGTTCTGAATGTTTGAAGTCATGCATCTAGTAAGTTATGTAGAAATGGTTTTGTTTGATTAGATCTTATCATACTAATTCATCATTAATATGCAATTTTGCAGACATATGAAAGGTCATTCATTCAGGAGTGGTTTAAATCTGAGAAAAAAACATGCCCCAGAACCCAACAGGAGCTTTCACATACGGACCTTATACCTAATCTTCTGGTTCAAGAAATGATATCTGACTGGTGCAAGAGTAACAGCATTCATTTGCAAGACAAGGTAGAACTGCAAGGAATGACTGAGGCTGACAGAAACAATCTTCACTCTTTGCTTCAGAGAATTTCTTCAGGACTGTCTGCTCAAAGAGATGCTGCTAAAGAATTGCGCATGCTGACTAGAAGTATGCATCCTTTCCGGGCATTGTTTGGGGAGTCTGAGAATTTAATCCCCCAACTTATTTCCCCTCTGTGTGAACCCATAATACAAGAAGAACTCCAAGAAGACATAATCACTACCCTTTTCAATATCTCACTCCATGATGACAACAAGAAGCTAATTGCAGAAACCCCTAAGGTCATTCCTCTTCTTATTGAAGCATTAGGATCCGGGACGATTGCAACAAGGAGCAATGCAGCTGCTACCATTTTCAACTTATCAGCCCTGGATTCCAATAAGGCACTCATAGGGAAAGCCGGTGCCATAAAACCACTCATTTGCGTTTTAGAAAAAGGGCATCCTTCTGCAATGAAAGATGCCGCCGCGGCTATTTTCAGGCTATGCACTCTTCAAGAAAATAATGTGACGGCGGTCCGAGACGGGGCAGTGGGTGTTGTAGTGGAAAAAATTGTGAACAAAGTGAACGTTGGTGAATTTCTTGCCATACTTGCTTTGTTCTCAACCCAACAGAAGGCAGTAATTGAAATGATAGAGCTTGAGGCTGTTTCACTCTTGCTTGGTTTAATCAGGGAAACACCGTCTGCTGTCAATAAGGAGAACTGTGTGGTTCTTTTGTACGCAATGTTTTGTATTGACCGAAGTAAGTGGGAGGAGATAAGGGAAGCTGAAAGTAAGCATGGTACATTATCTCAACTTGCAGAAAGTGGTACTAAAAGAGCCAAAAGAAAAGCAAGCGGCATTCTTGACCAACTGAATAAGCCTTCCAATTGCTCCGTCAGGCTTCCACCCATTGCGGAAGATTCATACCACTCATAATGCATGATGAATACACTTGGATGCACATATCTGTAAATTCTAACGCTTTCATACTCTTTGTGCCTTTACAAATGTATTGAGGCATGCTATGTTCGTTTACAACCATTGTGTCTGTGTACATACAAATGATACAATATACCTTGCTAGTCACTGAACATATACACATAGATACCTTGGATTCTGGCATTTTATAAATACTACCATGCCATTTATATTGGTTAAATAAATAGTATGAAATTTCACCACGTATGTTCTTGAATAAGTGGGATCTCAAATCATCACTTCTAGCTTTTTTGTGTTAAATAGAGTGATCTTCTTGACTGCATTCAAGGTAATGGCTAATATGAATGGGTTTTTTGCTTGAGAAACAATTGTGGCTCCTTTTCTTTGATTGTAGCTAAATATGCAAACATAAGTTCCTTTAGTTATGAGACTTTGAATTGTGAGGTGGTTGCATCCTGCTCAACTACCTCAACACTGTCAACAGCGTGCTTCATGAGCATAGTGAACTGCTCTTGACCATAGAAATTTTGGATGCTGTAAGGGCTTGTTTAGTTTGGGGACTTCCGGGGTGCTTATCTTTTTCCTTGATAACTATCTCTACTTAGAAAACTGGAACTAAAGTGAATACTTAATCTAACTAACCATATAGTTATTTCATATGGACTTAGCAGACTGCTCTGCGTGCATTTTGTATTCTGAAAAAATGAATAGTACAGATTCCATGACAAATACTGAAAAGTTTAATTGAACATTCATGACCCTCCATAATGTCCAGCACTGGAAATATGTGTTTCATATGATTTTTTGGTTAATTAAGCAGTATCATTTTGAAAATAAAAAAAGATTTGAGGCATTAGCTGTAAACTTGTAACATGCTGTTGGTTGGACGGTATAAGTTGTAAGTAAAGCAAGGCTTGTGGGGTAGGCAACATGACAAACAACGTTGGGTTTGCCAGCAAGTTCATGGGTTTTGCATGGTTATATCTAAGCTCACGTTACTCAGAGGCAAACTAGTCCCAACTGTGTATATAACATGCATTACAAATGCAAGAATCATTAAAATGAATGAAGCATCCAAACATGGCTGCACATTCAGCACTTTATACATTTTTTATAAACAAAAAGGTCAAAGGAAAAAAGTTTTGGTATACATTGAAGCTGAACAAAAGGGTAAAAGTAACAATTACAAAAGGGTAAATTATGTAAATATTGCTAAAAGATAACACATTTTCCTTTAAATAGGACTATCATTGTTTATTTCTAAAAATAAGACTCTTTCACTCCAACTAATTTTATTCTTTTTTAGGACTGAATGAGCCTTATTGTCAGCATAAAACAAGTATACTCCTATTTGTGCACAAGAAATATGTTTTACTCATATTTGCACAGAGTTTATTATTTATTATCATAAAACCTGCTTAGCTAGCAGCTTGCTGTCCAAAAAGCTGTCCTCTAAAAATGGCAACCTCTCCCGGATGCTACACGCAAGTTGCAAAGCTTCATGGTCAAACTTCAGTTCTTTTCGTCCCAGACTCTACAAAATATCAGGGGGTTTATCATCATGAGCTGATAGCCAGTTCTGTTGTAACAGGGTTTATCATTATTATGATTATAAATATACCAAGTATACCTCAGAAGCCCATAGGCAATCCCTTGCTGTACGGGGAATTATATGAATGTGGGTCTGAAATTTGGCATGAAATATAAAATTAATTACAAAATGTAAGCTCTCTCTCATTTATATCATGAACAAAGTAGTCCATGGAAACCCATTCCTTAAAAAGAAATTTGAAAGTTCAATATGAGAAGGATCAAGGGGATAAAAAAGAAATGGAGATCATATATATGTACTTACATGAAATATAACTTGCCCTGCAGCTTCACCATTGTTAACTAACAAATTGAATGAATCTGTCAGCCCAAAATTGAAGCAGTAAAAAAAATTAAGTCAACTTCTTTCCCGTAAAATGGGCAATTTCTTAGGTGATTCACCAATCCACCAATATGTATATTTTTAATTTATGTTAATAGTAACGTAGTATCATCATAAGACATTGTTTAAATTCATTTTATTATGTATGATTATGAAAAAAAATCAGTTATTCTGTTATGAACACTTACGTATAACTATGAAACTTGCATATCCAGTCATTATGAAATAATGTAAGTAGAACGATTATAAAAGCGTTCATACAACACCTATTTGTGTTTTTTTAGGTAAAATGCATTCGGAAACACAGGAAAGAAACGAGGGGGCACTTCATACCAAAATAAGCAAAAAAAAAAAATGAATCCAGAAAGAAGGAATATATATTTACCAGATTCAGTTGCTTTCATGACAGCATTGCCAATTACCGGTACTTTCGAGAACATTTCGGCGACAACCTGAAAAGAAACGCTTCTTGAAACAGTAGAAATTTGAAAGTTGAAACGAAATATTAAATTAAAGAAATACTAATAAGATGAAATTCATCATTTTGAAATACACCATTATCACTCAACCCTGTGAAAGATTAGAGAGAATACTTACATACGGCGGAGTTGCTTCAAGATTTGGAAAATGGAGTTTTGGGATAATCAACGAGTGCCTGGCATTGAAGTATAAATAGTCAGTGGATGACAAAACCCAACGAAAAAGAATAACATTAAAAGCTATCAGCTAATAGTTACAAAACACTGTGAGCCCATATCCATCGAGACCCAAGAGTCAATCCCCAGGGCTATTTCTGCCTAGAGCGGCATTCTAAAATCCACCCATTATACCATATTACCATTGTCTATTGAAGCAATATATTAAAGTTTAGGATCATGTATAAGTTATTTTAGTCAGTTTAGTGGCTAAAGAAGATGCATGAAAGGTTTAGAGCCATCTTCTACTCTCTTCCCTTATTCTTCACTTTTTGAACTTAACCTTTGTGATGGTCAGTGAGAAACAATTTTTACTACATCCCCAAAAAAGTCCTATTTCAGAAACATATTTTTTGTACCAAAAAATTATTTTCAGCTAAAGAAGCTAATTTTCAATAACCCAAGGTAAATTTCACAAAAATGTGTTTCACACACATAAATATGTTAAAATTAGTTTAAACCCCAAAATTTGGTCTTAATCTTTGCAGCTACAAGTTGTATATGTTAGTCTTGGTAATCTTAATAAAATTCATGTTAAGCTGGGGTATCATGAAATTTAGGATATAAAAAAAAAATGTCAAAACAGGACTTTGGTAATGAAAAGACGATGCCTTACCCCCGGCTCAAGGGATTTATATCTAAAATACAAAGGCATACATCATCTTCATATACCTGTAGGCATGAAAATTCCATGCAAAATTAGAAGACTCGAAAGCACAAAGAGTACATGTACTCACTCACATGCACATATTGCGTTTTCTTCTTATGTCCATTTTGACAGATAATAACCAGATTATTACTAAACCTTGATACTTCTAGAGTTCTAGTATCACTTTTACAAGCCATTTAAGCTAATTACCATATTCTTTCACAAGATTTAGCATAATAATTCAATATATTCTGAAACGTTCTGCAAGTTATCCTCACCAGTGATTGTTCCTTCTAATTAAAGAATTGTGCTGTTGACATTGTTTATTTCATTTCTAAAAAACAACCACATTATTTTAAAAATACCTTGTTTGACTAAAATGTATAATCTGAAACTTATTATCAAATAGAAGGGGAGAATTATATCAGTATTGTAAAATCTCTTAAAGAATTCTTCCAAAAAGATCACTCATGACCTCTGTGATCACTTCAGTCACAATTAGCATAGCCAAAGAGTCCAGGAAAACGCGGGTTATAAAGCATAAAGAGATAAGTGACAACGTGGAGGCAGTGGCCTAGCCGGAAAAAATATCAGGGTTGGCAGATATAAAGAATTATTCCTATATATTTTTACACAATTTTATTAACAAATAAAGTTCAGTCATTTTTCAAATTTGGGTGGACAAGGACCTGGCTACGTGCCTGGTGGAGGCAGGAATGTAACCAAAAACGGTAGGGAGGCTTTGGTTGGGGAAAAGCACCGCCTAACCAGTTGACTATGCAGTCGGGTGAGGACCTGTTGGCAATTGATGGACCCTGAAAAGGAACAGCCCAGAGGTCAACCGGGTGGCTATGTGGGACCTTTCTTCCTTTTTGGGTTGGTCAAACCAATGTTCTTTCTGTTTCCTTCTCGGGGGATACCAATTCTGGACTCTTTTCACTTGATGTTAAAACCATGCTTTTTGATTTTCTGTTAGATCTGAAGTCCTTTCATTTTTCAGTTGACAGTGTAGCAGAAATGCAGAATCCAATCATGTAGAAAAGTCTATACTATTGTGATGGATTGTCTACCTGGG